TATTTCCTTGTTTTTGTCAAAGGAGGAGTGACATAGGACGCTTCCTTTTTCGTAGTGTAGAACTGAATGCTGTAACCATGTAGAGTCACATGCATAAGATACCATCCAGAGAAAGTAAAGCAACAACGGCAAAACCATAGGGCTAAATTATTCAGGAAAAAAAATGCATCACCCCCAAAACCATGCTTTTCTGCAAAGTGCTTTGGAGTTAATGTGGATTATCAGTTGATTGCATTGACTCATTAGACTGCATGCTACCCAGGCACAGATCTATTCATCTTTCTCTTCTCTGGTGATTGACACAGAGTTTTATAAATAATATCTCTGCCAATGTCTGCCTAATTGAATGTGAGAATTCCAGCAAAAATTGTGTATGTGTGATGAAAAATATGACAACATTATACTTATTCTTTTTGCAAACCTGAATTATTTTTCTACAACAAAGTATTGTATACGCAATTCTTATTGCTACAATGGGTGAAATGCTATCTGTGACAAGGATGTCAAATGTTTTTGTAACAGTTTAGAACAGTGAAAACAAAGTGTTTCCTTCTTGCTCGCAATACTGCACAGTATTGTGGGAAGGAAGTCCACCTGTGGTGAGTTTCTAGGAGACATGGGCATTAATGCCATTCACTGCATTTGGGACAAAGGAAAAATGCTTGACCATCAATATTAGGAAAAGGGCCGTGACTTCGGATGTGATAAATATCAGTCGGTCCTTCCTCCTCTAAGAAGGGGAGAACTCTTCTCTGACCCCTTCTACTAAGCTCTGGAACACATCTGCAACATCACGGTGACTTTGAAACATGAAGCTATCTGTGTCAGCTGGTGAGGTAGAGAACCCTTTTTTCGACTTTATTCTGAATGCAAAAGTTAAGCCTTAGGACCCGAGGAGTCAGGAAAAGGAGCAGCAACAAGCCCTGTGCAAGGATCAAATTGAGTGAGGTGTTGACCCTGACAACTGGAATTGCCTCAGCTGATCATAGGTGCAGGCGATTATCACAGAGGGTGCCTCAGGGGAAACAGCTACAAAAGATTTACTATGGTGTCTTAGACAAGAACACAAATCCCTGAAACCTGAAACACTGTACAAAGAAAAGCAGGAGGAAGAACCCACAACAGCCCACTGGAGACATCTAGACCCCACCTTCATTTTTGATACATAGTAGCTGCTTAGGACCAACGTTGGGCAAAGACTGACGGGAGAATGGCTGCTCATTGTGGAGAGCCCTCTGCCCACTAAGCCTTCCAATAATGGCTTTTTTTTTTTCAGCTGAGGGAATATGAGAGTCTAGGATCCTAAATGAATTCAAATGAATACTTATTCCATGGGCTAATATATAAATTAGCTGGTAATTCACTAGACCATATCATGCATCTCAGAAGGGCACAGGCAAGGCTGATGGGTCACTTTTATTCAACATCACACTCCTATTTACTAACAGCTAAAGGCTAAATGCTCAGTAACATTCATAGCAGCTATTATAGGAAAACAACATTTTCATAGATGGCTGAATTGAGATTATCCACTGAGCCTACATATGCCACAGAATTAGTGAATACTTGGGGGCGATTATACTTGCCCACACGTTTTCCTATGTGAGTAAAAGAAAACTTAGCAGCTATCTGACACTGAGTGAGCAGATAGCCTAGGGAAGATTCCTCATAGCCCTGCTGGAACAAAAGTAGAGGACACCCACTAAGATTAATGACATCCTCAGGAAAGAGGGGATTTTTACTTAGAATACCACGTAAAATCCAAGCATTTTATTTGTAAGTCATTTAAAACACAGGATTAATAAAGGCAAGTACTGGGCTTGATAAATTATCTGTCCTCAATATAAACTCCTTAATGTTACTGTAAAAATAATAATAGATATTTTGGATTAAAGAGATGACTCAGAACAGTCATATCTACCAGAAATACAGTTCTTGAGATCTTAGCTAAAGTCTTAGTTCCTCTCCATACTCCTAACTCAGCTCTTCCATTGCCTCTTGGAAAGGAATGCTCCCCGAGTTCTGCTTTCGGATAGAGCATCTCTCCCAGAGATTCCCGTGACTATACAGATGTGTGCTGCACTTTCCTCATGCCCTGAGATGTACCCCAGAGGTTCCTGTAACTGTACAGATGTGTGCTGCACTTTCCTCTCTCCCTGAGATGCACCCCAGAGGTTCCTGTAACTGTACAGATGTGTGCTGCACTTTCCTCTCTCCCTGAGATGTACCCCAGAGGTTCCTGTAACTGTACAGATGTGTGCTGCACTTTCCTCTCTCCCTGAGATGCACCCCAGAGGTTCCTGTAACTGTACAGACGTGTGCTGCACTTTTGCTGCAGGTGTATCCACAGTGACACCACCACTCCGTTCTGCAGAAAATCTGACAGCTTTGCCTCAAAAATGTAAGAAATAAAGTAGGAAAAATCAAGCAAACTATGATTTAACCCATCAGATGTGATCAGCTCAATTTAAACTGGTTCAATTTATGATGATAAGGATTAATATTTAGAATGTCAATAGAAATTTTGCAGGTGCTTGGAAAGTGGCAGTTGTAGGTTCTCTTCCAATACCCATGACTTTCACGGATAAGTATAGGACTCGCCCCTCATCAAAGGCCATTGCAGAGAACCGCAACTGATGACCGTGCAGAGAACGAACGAGTGACTTGAAGAGCAGGCCCTAGTTAGACCTGTGCAGCACAGCTTCCTCACTACAAGGTCGTCGGGTCGGGGGACAATGGTGAGCAGCCCCGAATTAGACATGTATAGCAAGGCTTCCTCACTACAAGGTCGTGGCGGGGGGCGGACAACGGAACGGGAAGCTGGCTCTGAGGATTAATCTCCTAGAAATGTCAGAGAAACTACACCCATGAAATCTCATCAGCATGGCTGCCTAAACAAGACACCGTGAGCAGACACGCTAATGTGGAAGGTGGATAGGTCATACTGCCTCAGTCCTTGATAAAGAACTGCAGGCAACTAAGGACTTCCTGCTGGGGGCCCCAGGAAAGGGGCCTCAAATGGCTCTCTAATACAGAGTGATCAGCCCCCAAATCATATACATACAATTTACATATACATACAATCATATACATACAATGTCTTATACAGACTGATCAGGATAACTATATATATATGTGTGTGTGTGTATATTTATATGTGTTCTAAAGTCACTTGATTATACAGTTCGTTTTTTCACTCATGGGATTACCATCCATGAATTCAATGACCATAGATCAGAAGTGCTCAGAAACAAAACTCCATCTGTCCTGAACCTGATGTAGTCTTTGTGTATATGTGATTATTCCCAATAAAAATACAGCATAGTAAACAGTTCCATACTTCTCAAATTGCCCTAAATTTTTATTAATAGAAATGATTTGGTTTAAGGTATTTGTAGGATGTCAAGAAACCAGTCCTTCATGGACATTGAAGGGGACTACTCTATTTAATTGGTAATATAGAAAGGTTAATGTTCTTAAATCTTTAAACATTTATTTCTTTGGACAGTTAAAATTACTGAGTATATAAATATTTTATATTTCATATGCTAGGTAATACTTATAAGCACTTCTCCTTATGTCCTTTTAAGGTGATACGGTTGTTTCTGGCATAATAAAACCCTTCACAGTTTGCAGCAGCGTACTTTTAATTTACCCTGTGAATAAGGATGGCATAGTAATAGCTCTGAAGCACTGCTAAGGATCAGCCATCATTCGGAAGCATGGGTCTGGGAGGATGAAGGAATCTGGAAGGAAGCTGACGGCCTGCATTGTTGACCAGTTCCCAGGTACGCTGATGCTTTCAGGCTGGGAGCCATATGTAGTTTTCTGATATCAATATAGACAGAAATCACATTGTAAGTGAAAGAAAATTCTGAGATTATTTTAGAATGATAAGAAAAAGCAAACCTTGGAGCAACTACTGACCAATGTCTAAGTCTCAGTAAATTTCATTAATCAATAAAGAAAAGTAGTTTGGTATATACATATTAGTAGCCCTAGTGAAATTAGCAAGTGTATAATTCCAAGTATGCTGGATGCTTAAGAAACCACATCTGAAGAATGTAATTTTGGCAAAAATAATATTTTATGTAAAATATAATAACATAAAAATCATAATGTAAATACTAGGAAGTGAACTTTGTTATCTATCTGCACATGAATACACGGGTTGCTGTAGTGTCATGCAACAAAACTTACTGGGTTCTAGAAAGATCTGAAAATACTGCTGCATAGGAAACTTCAAGCATAATCAGACACAGACCAATGAACAAATTGCTTGTAATTTGATGGCAATCAGACTTTAATTGTGGCTTTTGTTGCAAATTTAATGTTTCATGTTTGTTTAAACTTAGTTTTTTTTATCGGTACACATATCTGAACAGATTATACTAGAGGTAGATGGTCAGTTTATAAATCCAAACACTCAAAAATTCAAGTGGGGGAAAGAGCTACAGAAATGAATAATAGAGAAAATAGTTCCAAAGTTTAAAACATGCCTATCAGCTTAGGTGTCTAAAAACTGCACCTAAAACAAGGAATCTGTCCCTTGATTTATAAACTAATCACTATGCTGGAGAACATGTACTCTACCTGACTTCCTCTTTATATTCATGCACCATATCTCATGTCTAAAAGATTAAACACAAACAGTCAAGGTATTTAAGTGCCAAAGATTATATGGAATTCCTTTGTACTCAATTGAGATTTCTAATTATAACTTCCATATTTCTCAATCTTGGCATTTTCTGCTGGTACTGCATTTAGTATCTCAGCATGAACACCAGGCAACAGCAACCAAGGCAATGAAGCAGGGTTTGGCCACACCCCTGGGTAATCATGCCACACCCCCTGGGTGATCATCCCTTTCCTTCACAAAATCTCAAAATCACTGAGACTTCCCATTCCATGCCGCTTTAGTCACGGCCCTTGTCTCCAGCCCCTCTTAAGACGGTTAATCAGCGAATGATTGTTAGTCTTTCTACAACACATATACTTACAATCAGGTGGCATCTTTTCCGTAAATATCGAATAATATTCTTGAACGAGTTCAAAATTTTCTTGATTAATACTTTCTTGCAAAGAAACATCTCCAAACCTGAAAATAGGAAAACAAAAATAACCAATCCAACAACAACAGCAAAAACAGAGAAGGGAGTTGGGACTATGAACCGGAATTAGAGATAATATACCCTCTCCTATCCCTTTAAATAGATGGTGAGGTTTTTTTTGTAACCCACTCCACACTTTTTCTGCAAGGCTACACCCCATCTGTCTCTGTCCTGTAGAGATCTCCTGTTCGTGCCTGCACAGAGATTGGAAGAACATGTTTGGAAGCTGGGCTGGATGGCATCTTGCCCTCTGCCAGCTACTGGGTGCATGGGTCTCCCGGGGGAGGACTGCACCTTGCACATATTCAGTGTGAGCCTGTGAAGTCTAGCAACTGTGCACCAGTGTTTCCCATCCTCCTTTATCACAGAGCTTGTTCCTGTATCCTACTGCATCTGCTGTGGGAGCGCCTTCCACTCCTTCAACATAGTGGGCTGGTATTTCTGCGGCTATTGGCTGAAGGAGCAGAAGGCGCTCCCGCAGCAGCATCTGTCTTCTCTTTGAGTGTGTCCCAGTTTCATTCTTGTCTTTCTAGCAAGTGGCTTCCACTATGTACCTCCATCGAAATCTATAAATACACTTCCTAGGTGTCAATTGACAGCTCAGTGTAGATTAACTATTCCTTCCGAACCACAAACTGAAATGCTTGTAAATCCACTTCCAATTTCTACCACAAATTCAGCTCTGGGATCTAAGTAGTATTCAGATTCCTCTCTTTGACCACTTTATCCATTACTCACTGGACTTTTCAAACCTCTGCTTTTATCACTCCCTGTAGACAGGTGTGATTCCTCTAATAGTGTTTTGAGGACATTTTAGTGATATGCCTCTGGCCCCTCTTTCCCCTCCCACCTCTCCTGTGACATATTCCTAGAACATTATTTCCAGCAAATGTTTATTGTCAGCTCTGTATCAGACAGTAAGTTAAAAATGTTAGAAAAGTTAATCTAATGCATACTTCATCATACTAGGTCTCTAAGAGTTTCTCGTCTCTATAAAATCCAAATGCAAGTCCCATTGGTTGTCACATCTGCCCTCTACACGGCGCTCGAGGGACATATGTGGGATGCAGTTAACCATTCTCCTTCATCTAAGGATCACAGTGCCTATGAGACTTCCCCCACTATCTTCCTCTGAGTTTACTATTTTCCCTTCCGTGTCAGCTTGATGAACTCCTTTCTGTCCTTCAATGCCCGTGAAAGGCAGCTTCCCCTACAACAGGGGTTCTCAACCTTCCTAATGCTGTGACCCTTTCATACAGTTCCTCATGTTGTGGTGACCCCTCAACCAAAAATTATTTTGTTGCTACTTCATAGCTATAACTTTGCTACTGTTATTTGATCCCCAGAGGAATTGCTACCCACAGGTTGAGAATCACCTCCCTACAGGGAAGTTTCTATCCTAGAATCACATTGTTTTTTTAACTCGTTTTGTTTCTTCAACATCTTTGATTATTTGGAGACCCAAATTTCATGTGCTGTCTGCTAACATGCTTCCTCTGGAGGATGATCATGCTTGCTCCATATGCCCTGTACCTGGCAAAGCAGTATCCGGCACAACCCATGTTCTGCATCTGTAGCAACCTGTAACCTGAGGAGCAGGAATACAGTGTCCAGAAAACACACAGGGAGTTTCCTTAGGATCTCTGACTCGGCTAGATATTGTAAGCAACTGAAAGACTGTCGAACCAGTCTTGTGTGCTCACAAACCTCATGCGTGGAAACTGTATCCTCCAGGGTGTCTCTCTAGTGCTGTGGCCTCTAAGGGAACAACTGGGGTTAAATGATAATACAAGAGTGGGTTCTGACCCCACAGGATTAGTGTCCTTACAATACTTGATACTAAAATTCTCTGCCCTCCCCCTTCATACTTCATATGTAAAGTAGAGATCACGGGAGCGTATAGGAAAAGGGCTATCACCAAGAAACAGTGCCCTGGAACTGGCTCATGGATTTCTTGGCCTCTTAAGTGTAAGGAATGAATTTTAGTCTTTAAGCTGTCTAGTCTTCAATCTTTATACTAGTCAAAGCAAATTTATGTAAGAATGGACATATAAAATCCTTATTATTGGGGATGAATATTAAAGAAAATGTTACAGGATTTATGCAGGATATCTCCCATGCAAGAGTTGCCTGGGTAGACCCAAATTGGAAATCATGAAAGTAGGCATCAAGGAACAGAGGGGAAGTGATTTGCATGATCAACAGCTCGCTGATGTCAGAGCGCCAAGCAAACTGACTTTCCTGCCTCCCTCAGCATGTCGCCCTATTCGCAATTTTGTTTGTCTTCCAAATCCTATCACTCGTACACAGTTTCCAGGTACTTAAAGACACATTTTTAATTTACAAGGTAGATCGCGGAAAGGAGAATGTTTTCAAAATCAAGTGACCGATGGTGCAGTTACAACAGCCCAGAAGATGAAAACTCGTCTAATTTAGAGGCTACTGGTCCTTGGAAATCCTAAGTAGTTCTTTAAAAGTCTGCACATGAAAGAGTCTGAGACTACTCTAGAGATCACCCTCATAGGCCATCTCAGATTTTGCTCATGCCGTCAGCGTATTTCTCAAGGTTCTGACACATTTTAACTTACTTAGGGGCACGGTTTCTTCATGTGTACAGTTTACCTTCGCACAAGAAGTGACTAGATAGTGTACTAGTTGAAAGGAAAATGCTATACATACCTCTATGTCTAAATTCTATAAGCAGAAATACAGCTTTTCAAAGACCCTCTGAACACCATCCTTCTCACGAAGCCTACCTCTCAGCAAGAGTCTGCTGTTCGTTGATTCCAACGTTAAACAGAACGGGATAGACGTGGAGCAGCTGGCCTTCTTTAATCTGCAGAGGGAGCGACTCAAACACGGCAGCCGGGAGCCTGACCTCCACCACGTAGTGTTCACTGCGGAGAGGAAGGGCGGGAAAGAAACAGTCCTTGGTATTTGCTTTCTGGTGTTTGTGGTTCATCGAGAGGAAAAACAGATAAGTTGGACCACGACACCTTCTTAGGCTTTTGCGGTTATCTGCTTTTTGTTTCCATTCGCTGAAGAATATACACCCGTTCCATTGTCAAAATGCATGACATATGCAATGGCAAGATTATGTGTACCTGCACTCTCAGCCTTGCTCCGAATTCCACTGGAAAGGAGGATGTTTACCTCACTTTTAAGACACCTGGCCAAGTGCATAGGTCGCCTAAAGTTTTCTTCACTTATTATTAGAACCAGATAAGTTTTCAAAATAGGGAAAATAAACATAATAATGTTTTTCAATATAATGAGTCTTAATAAAGTGATAAATAAAATTGTCACAAATTAAATGGGAACTGTCCCACACAGTTTGGTGTTTGAGCAGTTGGTACTAGAGACTGGCAGTGTGTTTGGAGGTGGGAAAACTAGAGAACGGAGGCCACTGTCCATGGGTTAGGATACTTAGTGTTTAGAGTATGTCCCTGCCCTTGCTATACAGAAGTGTGGCAGTCACAGTCAGAGGCTCCGTGTCATGCCTTCCCTTCCCGATAGACCATCTTAGCTCAGATAAGGAGGCCAAATAAGCCTGTCCTCCCTTGAGTGGCTTCTTTTGAGGTATGTGGTCATAATGATGAGCAAAGTGACCAGGATACACATTTCTTTCTGTCTAGTTGGATGGATAAACCTGCCTGTTTGTGACAACCAGGTGGAAATAACATTACTGAATGTATAATTAACCCTAGGCATTTGTGATTCTTTAGAAAATTTTGCAGAAAACAGAAACATTTTTCCACTATAAAATTACATTTTAAACGATCCTAACGATACAATGTTGAAAATTTAGGATCCAGAAAATGTGTCCATCTCCTTGTACATGTTACATGTATTATCTGATGTAGGAGGAACTCGAATGTAGACATGTAAAGAGTTTCCTGTAGGGACCGGAGAATGCCACATATTTTCGGAAGTGTATGGAGTGAGTTGGACCATAATTTATACATTGGAAAAAGAACAGGACAAAGAGTGAGTCTCTCTTTAACAATCCTTTGACATTTTCCAGGAAAATATTTTGTTAAATACTATTGCTCATAGACTCATACTGTGGAGTAGGGTATTTGTTTAACTATGTAAAGGTTTGTTGCATTTGTTTATGTTGCAGAATAATTGTTTGACTAGGCAAAGATGTGTTACATTTGTCTATGCTGCATTTGTTTTACTATGTAAAGATGTGTTGCTGTTTTACCTTGCCTGCCTCTGGCACCTGATTGGTCTAATGAAATACTAAAGGGGCCAATAACTGGTCAGAGGAGGGAAAGGCAGGGCTGGTAGTCAGAGAAAAAGGAGAGCCAGCCAGCCATGGAGAAAGAAGAAAAGTATAGACAGTTTGTAGAGGAGGCAAACACACACACACACACACACACACACACACACACACACACACACACGCATACACGGTGCTGGTGATGGAACCCAAGCCCAGCTTTCTCTGGGCTGACGACCAAACTACGGTCTCTGAGCGTGGTGTGCAAGAAATTCTGCTAACTAAGCTCCCTCCCCACATAAGACAGCTGTTTGAGGTGTTTCTTGTTATAGCAGAGAGGATGGCCCCAGATGCATTTTTCTGGCCTGGGAATCCTGCACTTCTCTAACAAGTTCTGAATGTAAATGCAGCTGGAGGAATATCCTCAGTGATAACCTCCTTCCCTCCACTCGCACAGTGGCCTGGTGAACTCCCTCATGAACGGTGAGGGAAGTGTCAGTAGATCACACTCGGTAATAAACTTCGGAAGAGTGTGCAGAGCTGTGTTATTTTCCAGGTGTGTTTGGGAACAATTTTGTTCATTTTTCCTCCAATAATAGCAAAGGATGAGTTAATATTCAGATGAGACATTTACTTTTATCGGGCTCTGTTTATTTTGTGCTCCAGAGTTATCTTATCTACATGAGGAACCGACTGTTGTGTATGCACCTTTAGCACATACTTCTAAGTAACTATTGTATGTTTACTTGATCTGTTCTGCATCTTTCTGTAACACATGTTTACACTGAGACCTGAGATGATTTCAAAATTCAAGTCACTCATATAATATTCAAATGTGCTAACACCAGATCAACCAAAATTAAATAACTTCTGAATGAAACAAATTATTATATGGTACAATTCTTCTATTAAAAATCTCTTTTACATGTCATTTCTTTTATTACTTCTGGAACTTTGCCTGTCATATTCTGACCTTATAAGTTATTTATTAAAAAAAACCCTTTCTTGGAAATCTTACAGTATGAAAGTGAATTGTCAAAAATAATTAAGAAAAATGGTAGAATATGCACCTGACATAAGAATATATTCTTCCTTACATGTTGCTGCTTTTAACTGAATTTAATTTGAAGTCATCTCAAGAATTATGAAGCTATTAGCTGAGCAATTCCCGCAAATGTAAGAATACCCAGAGCTTTGGACCAGACGGCGTGAAGAGGAGTTGGCTCTGGATGCCACCGCGGCTGCAGATTTCTTGTTTCATGAACCTTGCTATGTCCAACCTCATGACCATTTCACAAACACGCATGAGACTTCCAGGATATTATCAGGACCTCCTTGTATCATCCAATCTGTATTTATTTCTCATCAAAAAAGAAGGAGAAAAAGAAAGAGAAGGAGAGGGAGAAGGAGAAGCAGATCAAGAAGAAGAGGAGGAGGAGGAGGAGGAGGAGGAGGAG